ATTTGTAATCCATTGTCTATCGTTTTTAAATTGCTAATTATTATTACATTCATCTCAGTACTAATTACACGGAACGACTTAGCTTCTACTTGGTTAATTTTTCAAATATTCCTTAGCCAAATTTATATACCAATTTATGAACTGCAAAGCAAATTGAATACTTTTATAATTTGCAGTTTATTAATTTGCTAACTTCTTCCAGATCATATCAATTGCAACCAGCTGGCTGTCAAATTTCATTGTCCGGTGATGGTGAATACTGTATATGCTATGATGTTGATTACTGTAATCAGGCAAATAGCTTATCCGCATTAAATTTTCCTTTAATTATCATTGCATTTATTTTCTTACAATTTCTTCTGTAGTTGATAATCAAATAATTAACCTTTAATCTACAAAACAACTGTACCATCACTTTATAAATATACAAAATTACCTTAGTAAAGTTAATCATACCAATATAAACTTTCATTACCTCAGCACTGAAATATAAAATGGTTACAACAATGGTGCCTTCTGTAGCAGCTTTTTTCTCAAAACCATTAGACCAACTTTCAAACAATTATAATTAACTTGATTATGAAAATTAATACTTTTCACACTGTATCCGAAAGATATATTTTGTGTAGTAAGTTGTGGGAAGAAAGAGCTGGGATTCAACGAAAGAAACCTTGTTCTCCAATCACAGCATTAACTTTTTACTACATTTATGGACACGAAATTAAATCCCTACTAATAACTTCCCGTTCTTTTGGTTTTTTTCTAGTTTGCCAATATGTACATAAAGCGAATGAGCAACACGCTTTAATATGAAGTTTTTTCGCAAATTTATGAGAAAATTAATGGTAATTGCAATTATTATATAAAATTAGTCTAATCTAGCTCCTTAATTTATACGATTAGGGAGCTATTTCTTTGCTTGAAAAGTAGTTTGTCAACTTAACAATTCCAAACAACTCGAAATCAATTTTTAATTGTTTGAAAGTTGGTCTATTCGAATGTTTAAAAAAGACACAGTAATGGTAGTGGTTGGTAATTTGCACCAAGCAACCGATGCTTCAGGAAGTGCTTGTTTTGCTGAATTTTTTTCAACAACTAATGCTAATTCGGAACTTGTAAATTTATTTTAAAAATTTGCATTTTAAATATGTCTTCCACTGCTGCTCAATAATTTTCATTCTTAAGTTTATATTGTCAAACTTTGCAACAACAAAAAAAAAAATGCATAGCTTTATTAACGTACGTGTTAGAAAATAATGCCATTTGCTTTAAAAATTCTTATTGATATGATGAATGGAGCATAACATGAGTACTTCAAATTCTTCCAAAAATTAATCTGAATTTTAAAAACTTAATTTTCTACTATTAATATACTTTACGCTTGAAACAGTAACAAAGTCGATAAGTAGTCAGTATCAGTGATAAATTCGATTTTCAAAAACTTTGATCGTAATACGAATGCATGAGTAACTCTTAAAAAATCAAATTACTTATACTTCAAAAATTGCTTGTATGCAAAACACTAATTCGAAGATAACTAATTTATTGTAAAAAAGTTTACGAGTCAATTACAAACACAAATTTTTAAAATGCATTCCAAATATGTTTCTTATTTTTGGAGCATGTTTACATTCATAAACGTAGAATACAATAAAGAAACAGTAAACTTCAAGAAATCAGACTGAACCAAATAAAGTTCTGCATTTATATGCTTTACATTTATAAACAATTTGGCAGTAAAATTGGCATTTATTTGTTTCGAAGCAAAAAAAATCCAGCACTTTTCAAATTTTTTCTCACCAGCTATGACAAGAAGAGTGTAATTTACTTCCTCTAATTCCAGAACACTAAGCAATTTTCAGTCTAGCTCCACCATGCTATATTTAATTCTAGTATTTTCTTAACTAACTAAGTAACTAAATAACTAAATTACTAACAAACTAACAAAAAAACGAACAAACAAAAAATGACTGAACTAACAAGCAGTGAGTTTTTTCAATCTTATCAAGAAAAAAAATACTTGAGAGATTAATAGCAAAAATCAGTGCATAATCACAACCGTAAGTGGTAAATTACTCATTTTCAAAAATTCATCCTTACAATAAGATTATGAATATGCGATATAATTTTATACCAAAAGTCAAGGTCAATGTTTCAATGCAGTACTTTCAAAACTGAGATAGATTACAGTCAAAAAGATGTTTTTCCAGTAACAAAACATTAAATTTGAATCTTCAATAAGAGATTGCTGTAAAATTTTCACGTAAAACATTTTAAACTATTGGCGAATCAAAACTTTTCAATCGTGCTAACACCTGACTGCAAATCACCTAATTACATAAAGCTTATGGATGGAATTTTCAATTTGAAATAAGACACGAAATGGAGACTGATGTCAGGGATTATATTTAAGGTATTATATAACTGAAAAAAATGACTGCTAATAATTTTCAAATGAAGGACTGTGGCATCGTCAGAAGGAAAAATAAATTGGTAGTTCGATGAGTAATTTACAGCCGTTTAAATACATATAGAAAGTTTTTTTTGTTCATGCATTCTCGTCGGGTTATGAAAAGTGACATACTTCTCTAAACGAATTACTAACCACATGAAGTAACATTTCACCATCATTTTAATTACATGAGCAAATTTTGATTTAGCTGCAAACCATCTTCAGATCAGAATAAATGCCAGCAAAATCCAATAACAATATGATATTTGAAAGCCAGTCATTACTTCCACAAGATGTCTTTCTCACGGCTGGAAAATATTGAAAATTAGAGTTTGTAAAGTCGTTTTTTACTACTAACATTTATTATACATTCAACAGAAAAAAATGACCGAATTCTATTTAAAAACCCATAAGTATGCTTTAACTTAAGTCTCCTCCTTTGGTTGATCGAAACGCAAGTTTTCAACAATAAGGTTGTCAATTATTCATATCAAAATATTCATTAACAAAACAAAAGATATTCAGTTCCATGACAACTCCGTTTTCAAACATACGAATTAATTCTATCCTAACCGTTAAAAAAAATGCTTGATTCATTGGAGGTTGCACTAATGAATACAGTTAATCACAATTTTTTTCATGTCGACAAATTTTTTGAAGGCTGAAGAAAATCAAATCACAGCTTACCACTGCAAAATATCACCAAATTATTGTGGAATTCATTGAAAATTTTAAACAACGCCAAATTATTTGACGTGTGCCTAGTGCGATAACGATATTCATTGATCAGTTCTAAACATTCGTCCAATATATTGTACAGTTTTACGTGCTTCGGACCAAAAAGAAAGTGCAGATTTAATTTTTGTATAATTTTTCTGAAATTTTATAAATGAGAGAATTGTGATGGAAACGATTCATACTGTTCGTCTTTCAAATATGAAACTATTAAAAACTCATTCCAGTTTTTACATTAAAAGATAATCAAATAAATTTTTGAATTTGCTAAAATATAAATTGCAATTGCTTCTGAATAAAAATCTGTCTATAAAGAGCTCTGCTATTGCTAATATTCTGACATTTCTAAAATAAGCACAATATAAAACACATTTACCCGTGAAGATGAGAAGCTTCTTCAATTGTTTTCATTTTGGCCAGTTCTTCCTTAATATATCATAATATCAGGTATAACAGAGTCTAATAAAATTCAAAACAAATATCATTTCAGTATTTCTGACAAGTTAAATAAATGATACATCTTAACAAACTTTTCTTTTTCAGTGGTAGCTAGAAAAAATATGGATGTTAAAAACCTGGAAGTCACAAATTACAATATCCCTGATTTCTTCGTGACAATAAGAACGCCAAGCTTGCAAGAAATTCCACATGCGCATTTGTATCATGGCACGACTATAGATGTGATCTCTTTGAATCATCATTTTCTGCAAAATTGAAATTACTGTTGGCATTACTTGATTTTTTATCTTTATAAGCATAAGACATATTTCTTACAAAAATACTTATGTTTGTTTCGGAACAAATAGCGTATAACATGACTGTCCACTGAATTATAATTTAATATGCTGTTAATAACATCCTTAAAAATAAGAAAATCAATAGATCAAATTTCTTTCCACTAGCATTTAATTTTTAAAGCGATATACAAGCAAAATAATTGAGTTAAAAAAATCAGGATATTTTTCTTAAAATGATTAAAAATTCAATGGGCACTGAATTTTTCTAGAAAATTTTAAAACAAGAAATAACGAACCTCTAAGGCTGTACATTCTATTTCTATTCTCAACAATAATTCCCAGATGCGTTCATAAATAATTAGGACTGATGGAGAGAAAAAAGAATTCATAGGAGGTGGTGGTTTATATCGTATCTTTATGCCTTTTTTTACAGTGGGTGAACCTAAATTAATGAATTATAAGCTATATTTTCATATTGTGAAGAAAGAAAGTCATACAGAAGAACACAATATCACTGCAATCCCTTAATTTAAAAAACTGAAAACTAAATAGATATTAAAAATATTTACTAGATAGCATTAACTAAATTTTCATAGAATAAAAATTGGAACTTGCATGCAAGCTGTTGAAGTCCACGAACAAACAAAGAAGTGTAATTTTTGCTTATTAGATGTCCGTACACATCTTCCAACCAAAAACTCTGATAGCTTTCCGGTTTAATGTCCATTTCTGAGTTTTCTTCTGCGTCCAGCAATTTGCTGCAATATATACTTTTGTAGTGTTCTCTACTATAAAGCACTCATCATGCATTGAAAAAATAAATGGAATCTTACAACAATATAACAAAGAGAAAAATGAAATACCTCACGAAAATTTCAGATATATGGGCATCTTCAAACAGGAAAACATCACAAAGTAGCTTACAAATTTGTTTAAAATTAACAACAATAGCACAGTGCGTGGAGACAACATGATGTGAAAGATAAATCTCTCTAAACAATGAAAATTTAAACGGAAAGTTTTTCAAAGAAGTAACAATTGGATATAGATATTTTTTTATATTTTGAATAAATTAGTAATTTACAAAGATGGAGACCATGTACATAATCATATATTCAGTAAATAATGAATATATGATACATTCTTAAAATTTATCCCTTTTTCTGACGTATCTAGATGAGCAAAAATTTTTGCGTGGACTTACTTGAAGTGCTTATCTAAAAAGGATCCTACCGAACCATAGAAAGTTGTTTGTAGTACTTTTCTTAATTCCTCATCTGACAAATTATTCATAAAATTTTCCTGCAAAAAGATTATTTTTCAAACAATTGCAAAAGTGATAAACAACATTTTTTTGGATCTTAATTATCAAAAAGAACACAAATTTTCTGGAAATAAAAAGATATTAGAAGAACGACACTCTACAGTGAAAAAACTAGTTACAATGATATCCGCTTCTTCATAAGACGTATTTTCTATATGTGACCAGCTCAGTAATAATTTTCGGAATTTGCCTTCGGATAACCATTTCTTGGTAAAGGATTTATCAATAAGTAATGATGATTTAAGTTTAAAATTCTCGCCTCTTCCAAGCACTGAAATGATCGTAGATATAAATTTCTATTTATAAAAACAATCAAACAATAACTGTAAACCATCAGTGCCTGCCGAATGTGATACTTGCGAATTTGCTTCTCCAATCCGAAAAACACCATCAATTGGATCCATATCACCTTTTACTAACCAAAACAAGATACATCTATAACTACCATTATCAATCAACACGGTTAGATTATTAAGGATTTCCACATTAATTAAATGTTTCTAAAATTTACAATTTTTTTCACAAGCTTAATTTTTAACAAGACATATTTTTCAAAAAGTTCGACAATATTCATATAACAACAAAACATTTCATTTCTTAATATTGATATCATTGGTCTTTATTCACTGTCTCATTTTTTTTTAAATATAACATTTCCTAGCCAAACAAATTTATTACTTAGCGTAATGTTGGATGATCACAACGAGAGCATCATCACAAAATTCATCTAATGCTGGCAACATCCGTCCTTTCATAATTTTCGCGGTATAAAAAATATTCAACAACGCATCTGCCTTAAAAAATGTTGTCTCGGATTTTAATACTTTTAATATGCAACAGAATGGTATTGGAATATTTCTATTCCTGGTCTCGATAAATCTTCACAAATTTAAACATGCATGAACGATTGCTAAGACATTCAAAAGCAATAAAGGATTCAGCAATACCTACGACTACAGAAAGTTTCCCTTTGGATTAAAACAAAAAATCTTAATAATTGCCAACAATACGTGCCAAATGAATAAAACCATACATGCCATGCGCTAGTATTTTTCACACAAAGCAAGAGATCAATGGAATAGCCAAAAATATCGCACATGCGAAGAAGTTCTTGCAGTGAGTTTCGAACATATTCACCATCAAATTTGTTTTTTCCATTAAAGAAACACATGATTTCATCGCTAAATAATAAATCATTTTTTTTCAAATAATAAAAGTACTCAGAACTGATTCGTAATAAAATTCAATACCCTTAAATGAAGTCATCAAATTTTACTGGAGAATCATTCAATGTAACAAATCAAGTGCAATCATAATTCTAAAATTGAAGTGAACAATAATATTTTACAAATAAATATAGATAGCAGGCAAAACATTTTATTATAAAATGATTCATTATTTTATAAAAAACTGCACAGTTACCGAAATTTCCACAGTCTTTCATATCCAAATAACTTTACACACAACAACACTCTACTATCCACAACGTTTTTGTTTTTGGAATAGACATATGATTTTGTCGCTAAATTCGGTCCATTAAGAAATGCTTCCACATCACATAACCTAAAGTACTTGGTTCAGCCTAAAAAATTTTTAATACAAATTGTGAATAATAACCAAGTTCCAACTTGACTCACATGTCAATAATTAGTGTCGACTACTGATCACTAGATATTTTCTTCCATATGAACAAAATTCACTCTTTTATGAAAATTAGTTTTTCACTAGTTCACAGCAATATCCACAAACTTCTTTGGTCACATAAATAATTCAACTGATGGAAAGTACTTTTTAACAAATAAATGCAGTTACTTATTAATTACATTACTTGCAAATTAGACTACCAATGTATTGATTTTAACCTGTCAGCAAACTCTAAAAATGGTGTTGCTAATCGTGGTAACAAGTTGATATCATCTAACTCCAAATACACCCTATGTTTTCTTGAAATCGTGAATAATCCATCCTGAAAAAATTTATGAGTAGAGCAGGAAATTACAGAACAACTAAGCAAAATAATTTGACTTATAATGAAAAAACTTAGTACTAACTTTCCTTTCTTTATCGTGAAAACTTCAAAAATTATTTTCCTAACTGCTTAAAAACTCAATTTGTTCAAATAAATTAATTGATAAACTGATGAGTTAAGTCATAATCCTACGTGAACAAGATTATAAGTAAAGAGAACAAAATCTGATGTAAAAGTACAATTTACGAATATTACAATTTGCTTACTTCATTTTTGTAAAATAAAATAGATTCTTGATTCCTTAATGCATATAATATACACTCGAGAAATCGCTGCCAAGAAATCTGAAAAATAAATTGTTCTGACCATTTATTTTCGAGTGTAAGAAGTATGTTACGAAATAAAATTTAAAAAGTATATTATGAAATGGAATTTTGCATTAATTAAGCTTTACGGCCTTCATAACACTACAATTAGAAAAGAATGAAGAATGAAAAATATTGAAAATTAAAAATAAGTTCAGAATAGTACTAACCATGTTGAAGATATCACCAACTTCTAAGTTTGTTAAACTATGCAATTCTAGATTACATTCACGTCGATGGGGCTGATTCTTGATACGATAAGCATTTTCTTGTATTTCGTTCTGATTTTCAGTGTTTTCTGAAACTAACGGATTTACATAGTTCTAGCGATCTTCCATATTTAATGATGTTGAAATAGAGACAGTCGAATAATTTTACCGAAATTGTAGAAGTAAATCAGTTAACTATTGCTCATAATAGCTCAAGATTACTTTCACATGCACTTTATTTAGAGCAAAGGGAACAGAAAATTTGTAGTATTTATAAAATAATTTTACCGAAAAAGCAATTTTCGTTTTTCTCATCGCCAAATCGACTCTCAACAGATGCATGTATTTTTTGATATTCATGCAAAACATATATATATGATACACATTCAAAAAGTTTCACTGAACTTGAACATAAAGGGGAAATATTTAAATGATTTTCAAGTATATTAACATATAAGAGAGGAAAAATGTAAAAATAGTATACAATCGTTTTAAATTTTCTATCTAGCCATTGCTCGAAGCAAAACAGCAGTAGAATTTTTTAAATCAGATTTAGAATTATTTAACTGGAAAATTAAAGAACCACGACGATAAGTTCACAGACTTACCTTGACTACACTTTGAGCATTGACACGATCAAGAGGCAGTCTTATTGAGCGAGTGACTACATACGATTCCAAAATCTAAACAAAGATATGAAGAGATTTAGAATACGAGCATGAGGTATTATTTTTTGTTATTTAAAGTATCGACATCATTAGAAAAAAAAACAGTAAGAAACATAAACGTTCGACTTTACCGAAAATAAAGTTTTTTAGGCTTATATCTGTCTGAAAGATGTCATTAAAAGTCTAAAATATGCTACTGATTTAAAATAATAATTGAAATAAAACATCACAGTTGAAGGTGGTAGGTCAACATTTATAATTCGTTTCCATGGATAAGGTGATTCGGATTCAGAATCACTATCATCGTCAGCATTCAAGTATTTGAGACCAATGTTTGACATCAGTAGCAGAAAACGTAATATCTCATCAACCTCATCCGTTGTTTGCCGCAGTTTGCCTTCAATTATCTTGCTGAATTTGAATCACCTCAAATTAATTTAAGAGGGAAGAAAAAAAATGACTTAAAACTTCATTTTTTCGAGATCTAAAGCTTGTAAGCCTTAAAATGCTGATCTCATTTTGTTTCATACATAGTAAATCACTTTTTAATAACTGTACAGAGAGTAAGAAACATACGCATAATTGAAGCAAAATTTTTGGCCTGATACTTGCTACCTCTTTTGCATAAATGAATCATTACCTCATCCGTCAAATAACGTAAAGGAATTTCCTGCAAAACTATGCATGAAAGTTTTATAAATTAAATTAGTCAATGTTTGAATGAAAAACATCAAATACACAAAACCATATTTCAAAATAGAAATGAAACTCTTAAAACAAGCCTAGAACAATCAAAAAGTGCGCATACTAAGTCATTATAATTAAATATACGAAAGTGATTACTTTTTTCGGCTTTTTTAATGATGTCAAAAGAATATTGCCATAAAATTCAGAGCGTTCATGTCCAGTGCAAGTTCTACCGGCCAACAAATTGAGCAGTAAGGTTATTCGACCCCAAATCGAATCGCCATCTACTCGAAGAATTTCTTTATGATCCATTCTACCTGAAATATCTGCAAACAATCATTATTTTTCACATTTGTAATGCAGAAGTATACCATGTTTACAGTGCTGAAAATATATGAAAATTTGGCATGCAACACGCACTATGCAGATTAATCATGTATTAAATATACATTTAAATTAAAAACGATAGCTGATACAAGAATATATTATTAATTTAATAAAAATGAAGAAATATAAAAAAGTTTGTTTACAAATTAGAAAAATAAGCAAAAATATTGAAGTTGAAGCGAGATGTGTGTATTCTGTATTCGCATTTCGTATATTCATTTTTCTTTTCCACAACCCAATTGGATTAAGAGAAAGACAGTGGTAAGCAACGATAAAGTCAGAAATTTGCATATTTTAAATTGAAAGTTACGCGGATTTCGTGATATTTAGCTTTTATTATTGCTTTTATTTTCGAAAAGAATATACTCAGTTTGTTCTTGAGAAGAATATATTTCATGTGGACAGTATATAATAGCGTTTCTCAGATTTAAGATGTGTATTTACACGAAGTTGTTAGGGTGATGGATGGTGATACCGAGTTGTGAGTTTTGAACTTCTTTCGAGGTGTTTGTGGTGAAGGAATTATTTTTGTAGTGATAAGTATTTCTGTTTAGAGGTTGGAAACAGTTATTCTCACTCTCTGTTATCCTTTCGAGTAAAAGGCATTCTTGTCATTAATAATTTTTCAGAACAAATATATACTTACATGCGTAAATTGTAAAGATAATTTAAATTAAATACTTGCCTTATATTAAAAATATCTCAGGAAAATTACATGCTTATTATGTAAGTAATTTTGTAATTTATTATATTTATAATATTTGTTGATTTTGTAAAAAAAACATTTAATGCGTTATTATAGATCACAAGACATGGCGGTTGAGGACAGAAATTCGAAAACCAATGAGTTGCGTCGTTTTATTTTGAACTTTTTATACAGACGTCTACAACTTAATCTATTACGCTTGAAAGTAGACAGTAAATGTCATATCGTTTCTAGTAAGTATTTTAATAAAAAGATCGAAAATAGCACAGATTTAATGACAGAAACTAACGTGAAAGCATAGTATATTTCGTGGTAATCATGCAGGAACATTGTTGTAATATTTTAGTTCCTTTTTTTATATGTATGAATTAAAAATTGTGCTAAAATTTATCATTCATTATGTATTCACTTATTTAATTTTTATCCGTAATTGCATGTACAAAATTTTACTGAGAACTTTTGTCGTTTACAATTCTTCTGCATGCATGTTGTGGTATTTAATACTTGGAGTGGTTTAAGCTAAGGAATGTGCAGAAACGAGAGCACAGATGAGGAAATCAGAAGCTGGTGTTGCAAATAAGCTTTCCGTCCTGAATAACAAACTTAAGGCTATAGAAGGTATATTTGGTATTTTATTTTTCATATATCAAATAAAATAATTTCCTTGCAACACGATCTTCAATTTTACAAATAATTTTAGAGAAATCGAAGGACGAAAATGAAACGTACGACGCGAGCGAGCTGGTACTTTTTAAATTATTATTTAATTATAACGAATGCACCATGTTCAACTGAAAATTTGTTTTTAGATGCAATTTTAAACGGATGAAAATTTAGGAATACGTGGAACGTATTAAGACGGAAACTGAAGAAAAAGGTACGGAAATTGCAACTGTAGAAACTGAAATTAGCAAATTTATTGAAATGTGATTTTCCCACTTGCTGCCAGCTGACGATGTTATAATTCATATCTTGTCGCAATTAAAGTTTGAAGTTTGTTAGTATCATTGACAATTTAAATATCTTGGTTGAAGGCTTTTATATCCACATTATTTTTTCAACAACCTCAATGTTTGAGAAACCGTAGTTTTCTTGGTACTTCTAAATTTAGCTTGAGTAATGGATTACCTTTTTTCTTTCCCTGCAAGTGATAGATGGTTTCATGACATGTACAGTAAGATTCATGGTTGAGAACAAGTGTCCGCATATTTAGTTCTAATACGCACTAATTAAAACATACAGTTATTTCTTCTTTAAAAATAGCCATCAATCTTTTTATTTTATGGAAATGTTTGGAAGTGAAGATGCTATTTTTTGGAAGTGTTTGGAAGTGAAGATGATTCTGTAGATGCTGTTGGCGTCGCTAATATAAAATTTTGTAGAGGCAGAGGTCTTGAATAAGTTGCTACTGCAATTGAGGTTGAAGTAATTGGATCAGCTGACAAGGGTTGTCTAAACTGCGCTGGTTCTTCCCAGTCGTAGAGATCGTCCCATTTCACGTTTGCTTCAAGCATTAACTAAAAGTCATTTTCTGTGAAAAATTAATATAAGTTTTATGGGCTCCACGGTAATCGTTAGTCAAATCATTTCTTTACATAGATATGAGCCGTGAAAGAGAGGGCATTTCTACTTTTTTTAATGCAATATTTTTAATTCAAGAGCATAGTAATTTTTGGTTCCTCATATTAAGCTCTTTTTTTCTAAACTCAAACCCCTAGCTAATATAGACGTATCTGATCCGAAAATGCCCTGGAAACTGAACGTGTAAAATTCTATCGTTTGTAAATAACGAGAAATTTTATTTTTTTAAAATTTAATACATTGTGTGTAGTAAATGAGATAGTCATCCTATATAACGTTGCTGAAACGAGATGACGACATACTTTCTCAAACATGTACTGGATTTGCTGGTAAGGTGGGTCAGCATCAAAAGTAAGTCCATCGATCATCGTAAATATATAGTCAAGTATGGGTAAAGAATTCTTGAAAAACTGTTTCCGATCTGGACCTGATCGGATTTTCAGTTTAGCTCTGTATACTTGGTCTTTCAGTTCTTTTTTCTTCTTTTTCATTACTACAATATGCAACGGTAAGGTTCATAAAATCCGAAGTTTAATAGAATTATATTTAAATTTGCTAAAGTTGGAATAAGTGCGTGAATATAATTCAAGGAAAAATTGAGGATAAAAACTTATGCATATTGGATGCAGTTATATTATTAGATGTCATCATAAATTGGTTGTTATGACTGCACTTTTTGTAGCAGAATTATTAATGAGTTTGCTGAAATTACTGTGAAGTAACGGAAGAGGTTTTATCCGTTTTTACTTTTTGATGTTTTCCACAGCAAAGTTCCACTGGATAATTCAACCATAACGTAGATCCATGATTCCAGATCATCTGTCCTACCTAAAATGCGATTTTCTACTCTATTATAATGAATATTTAATCCAGAAAGAATATAGGCATTAATTAGTAAGACATGCCAAGTTCTAGTCTCTCATGAGCTCTCAGGGAAGCATATCTTGTTGTGCCACGAAATCCTAGATGATGTCTGATTGGTAATATAGATCCATCCTGTAATTACAATTACGAAAAAATGTTAAAAGAAAAGTGTCCTTTATTAAAATGTTTTCGTTTGCCAAATATCTGGAAAAAATTAATGCAAATACATTAGTACCTGATCTCTGTAAAATCGTGCAAGTCCAAAATCGAAGATGTAGATGTTTCTGTGATCTTCATTGAGACCCAGTGCAAAATTACTTGGTTTAATATCCCTCAAAAATTTGCATATTGATTTTTCGACATTTAATTATAACAACTTCAAATAAATGAATGACTGATAATTGAAGGTATTTATATATTGCACTTAGTTTCTCTCAACATTGTTTTCAGATCTATTCGAAAAAGAAAGTAAATTTCAAAGAGGTGTTGCAAGGTTTGGTTTCAAGCATGTTAAATTGAAGGAATGGAATTGAATATTGAACCTCAGACAGTACGTGAGAAGTAAGCAATGAATTAAGAAGTAATACAATGTTTGTAAATATGTATCACTAGTTGAAGATTCAAATTGCAAGGAAGAAATGTATAAAACCTGGAAATGACAGAAATGTGGTGAAGTTCTCGAATTGCTGATAGCGTTAATAATCCTACACGAAGTGAAGTGTTTATAGAAAAATTCTGAGATTTTTGTTCACGTCGTAATTTTGACAAATCTTTGCCAAGCAATGTCATTACTATAAATACGTGATCTTCAAATCTTCCCTAAAATCTTTAGTGCATCATAATGCAGATTTATTTGCTACAATTTAATGAGCAATCACTTAGAAATATTATAAAGCGTATATTGGTCAACTTTTTGCGTTATTTGCATCTATTTTAATAAAAGTCAACAAAATTGACATCGTCTATATATTGGCAAATTTGTTTGCAATTATGTTGCATAGCACATTTTAGCACTTCAATTTCTTTGTAAATTTTTGTTCGTAATACATTCTCTCGTTTTAAAGCGTAATACCTAAATTAATCAGACAAATTTAATTCTTGCCGCCATTAAGTTTTCATTTTCAGTTTTTTCCATATTCTGAGCAAGTATGCAAAGCAGTAGCTTTAAGTAATAATCTGCGTATAAGCTAAGTGTAAAAAAATTGCAAATGAATTTATCTCCTCAAAATAATTATTTCAAATGACTGAACTCAGATAAATGTGATATCAAAAAATGCAGCAAGTTTAGAGTATATTAGTCTAAAATATTAAAGTGAAACTGAGAGGCGAAGAATTAGCTTTTTGCTTGTTTCACAGTAACATTCGAAAACTTCGCCATAGCCACCTTTACCCAAGTATCTTTCGAGTCTGTACTGTAAGCCACTCGTCGAAAGAACAAAATCTACGGTTTCTAAGGGTGGTTCGTCATATTTTTGCTCGATAATCTAAAAAATTTGCATATTACGGTAATAGAGGTAAGATGAGATCAATCCAAGATTATCAAGAAAATGTTCATATTTTGAAGATTTTTAAGTAGTTGAAATGAACATATTATTGATTTGAGCATCTGTGTACAACTGAAGAATCTGAACTTGTATTATTTGAAACCATATATATTATATGTGATAATTCAAGAAGTTAGTCAACCTTTTTTTATTAAGTAGTTGCTTGATCACGTAAAAGTGATTCGTTACTATTTAAAATTTATCAGGATATGTAAAAAAATTGTTCAGTAATGCAAAAAACTGATAATGATAGTCATATCAATAACAAATAATAATACTTTATTAATAACGTCGTTGTTGTAAGGCTCAACTGCTTTAGAAGTGCCTTTTTTTCGATAATTTTCATCAATGTTTGGACTTCCAATCATTTTCATTTGATAATTTTATAATTAAACCGAATTTAGCACTGTTTTTTTCCGCTTTGTTATCTATCAAACTAATACTATCAAATACTAATCTTTTAAATAAAAATTTGATTTTCATACACTAACTGATACAATTTTGAATCGCACTAAAGGCAGACATCTCTATCATCTAGGCATTTACGAGCACAACTAAAATGTCTACTAGTGGTTCATAATTACAATAAAATAAATACTTAATTTTTTGATAAATACAAAAAGAGAGTATTTGCATAAAAAGTGTTTAGTGAATATTATTTGCGTATAGTAAATTTTTGAATATTATTACATAAAACTGCGCAAAAATTGACTTCAAGATTACGCCTTGCAATAGCAGTTCATCGTTCTTGCTAAATGAAAATTGCAGAAGAAGTAGTCGACCTCGCAAAAATGACAAAATATACAAATAATCATTTAATGTTTAAAATTAAACATTTTATATCTCAAACTGACTTATATTTCGCATCGAAAATATGCATATAATTTTTGCTTACACAACTGAGCTTTACTTTACGCTGCAGTCGTCGACAATTTCCCACCATATTCACCATTTAATTTGCATACTTTAGCGAGTATTCTGCTCGTGATATACAGCTGCATTACACTTAGTATGCATATACTCTTCTAGAGGTCGAATTTTGCATGTGCACAATAACAGCAGAGACAAAGCCATTGTAAGCATATCGACATATATACATAAATTGAAACCTGAAGGATCTCATATAGAGGTAGCCAAAGGTTCTCCATTTCAAAATTTTCAGTACCGTTCTAAAGAAGGAATACATGAAGAAATTGGTGAGCGACCAACTGCACCAACGGGCGCCTATCGACAACAGAGACCCAAGGTACTAGATGATCATTGTAAAAATAGAACAACATTTCAAGAAATGCACGGAAAAGACAATTTGTTCGTATTATCACTTGTAAATCAATTAAAGCGAATTAAAAGTAATTTTATCCCAGATAGACCACATCAAACTGAACTGTACTTAATAGTAGGAGATCCAGGAGTTGGCAAAACTTCATTCGCATGCAAATTAAGTAAAACTTTGAACATAAAAACATCGAATATGAGAAAGTGGCGGAACAACTATGAGCAACAAGACGTTGTTATCCTTGATGACTTTCATGGTTGGCTATCGCCACCAGAACTTTTTAACCTCGCCGATTGCAAACCTCTTTTGGTACAAGTAAAGGGAGGCTTTACTAAGTTCACCTCAAAGGCCATAATCATTACAAGCAACAGAATTCCCGAGAAATGGTGGAAAGCGGATACTATCAGAAAATATAATATGTAAGCATTCAACAAAAGAGTAACGCTAACATGGTTTTGGAAACGTAACGAAGAATATTTGGATATAATTTCAACACACAACTAGTACCGGGTTTTCGGGATAA